CGAATCTCCTCCTCTTCGAATCTCTTGACATCTGCGAAAGCGAGGATTTTCAATCAATCGATAGACTCAAACGGTCCATAACGTAAGCCTTACTGAGAAAATAATAGGCCACAAGAGAAAGATAACTACATGAGCTAACAATCGATCAATTCTTATAAAGACCGCTTGATTTACGTTTCCAAGGTTGGGCACGTGGAATGACAAAAGTCTTCGTAGGATGTATGAGTCCATGTTAGCCCATGTAGACAACTCGATATTACTCGAACAGCTAATCTCGCTTGATGAATGAAGAAGTATAATCTTCGCTTGAGCAGATAAGACTGTCCTCATACAATGTGAGGTACAACTTGCGTGTCAGGACCTCACCAAGAATACGTACCTCGTCTTCATCCTCTATAGCAGATTGACCAAGGCTTCGACAGATGCGGCTATCTTTATCTTCTCTGTATCTATCATTGCTGGGCCTGGCCCTGATCCTGACTGCGACCGCTCAACAATGTCCGACCGTGCTTTTGTCCGGTAAGACACGCCCAAACTCGAAGCGCGGGGTCTTGGCTGGTAAAGGTAAAGCTACAATCACAGTCCGTCTTCGCACTAAGGATCCTGTCGATGACTTGGCTTTCAAAATGGACTTGCCTAGCGGACTGAGTGTTTTGCGGACGGTCGCACGCCCAGCTTCGAAGCGCATTGCAAGCCCAGAGATCGTACAGAACTTGGACGGATCGACGGCCATATTTTGGCTGGGCATGGATTTTACCAAGTCCAAAGGGGGAAAGCGTGTATTTCGAGCTAAGGTCGTCGTTGACGAGTGTGCGCCCGAGATGCTTGTCATTACTGGGCTTGCTTACCTTGCCAATGCGACGGCGACTTTCTGTGAGACGCCGCTAGCTAGTCCTGAGGTCCTGCGTGTGCGGTACGGAAAATCCAAACGATCGGTGACATGTGCGCCGACGCCAGCTCCTACTGTCAATCCCACGCAACCTTTTGTGCTATTTGGCGAAGGACAACGGTTCTCACAAGGAGGCGTACTGGCGCCCTTCTCGGAGCGCCGTCTGTCCATGCACCCTGGACCGAGCAAAACTCACGTTGCCAACCGTCAATTACAGGCGATCGGCACAACGGAAGCATGTTACGAATACTGCTCGCTGAACGCGAATGTCTCCTCACCTTTCTTCTTTAACTGGAATAGGGTGACTAGCGAGTGCTTCTGCTGCCTGAGTACTTGTACTCCTTTTATATTCGACCCGGCGTATGATGTGTACGAGGTGATTATTCCTGCGACTCCTGTCCCCACAGCGGTTCCTTCAGCCCAGCCTTCTGGTAGCCCCCCAGGTACTCCTACGGCTGCTCCCACGGCTACTCCCACGGCTACTCCTACGGCTAGCCCGACCGCCAGCCCCACTGCCAGCCCTACGGCTACCCCCACTGCCAGCCCTACGGCTACTCCTACGGCTACCCCCACTGCAAACCCCACTGCCAGCCCTACGGCTACCCCCACGGCAAGTCCCACTGCCAGCCCTACGGCTACCCCCACGGCAAGTCCCACTGGGAGCCCCACTGCTAGCCCTACCCCAAGTCCGACAGGGGCTCCCACGGCTGGCCCCACTGCCAGCCCTACGGCTACTCCTACGGCTACCCCCACTGCAAACCCCACGGCTACTCCTACGGCTAGCCCGACCGCCAGCCCCACTGCCAGCCCTACGGC